CGTACGTCCGTCCGTACGTCCCAAAATTGGTTTCCGTTCTCTAACTTTATTTTGCCTCATGTATGCCACTTATACACAATGCTTATTACCACAAAACACAGATCAAGTTTGGATTTTGGTGACGTCACGTCTACCGTTCTAGAGTTATGCCCCTTTACAAATGGAAAAATTGCTGAATTTTCCGTTTCTGTTCTCTAACTTTAGTTTGCCTCAACCAAATTTTATGAAACTTATGCACAATGCTTATTACCACAAAACTCAGATCACTTTTACAGTTCTTGAGTTTTTTTCCCTTTATAACGTTATGATGCAAGCGGGGGCATCATCTGTGTCCCATGACCCCCTCCCATGGACACATTCCCCGTTTATTTTTTAATGTTTTAATGTTTTGTATGTATGTGTTGTATTTTTCAGTAACTTTTTACTAATTAACTATTTGCACAAAAAAAGTCATATGTCTTTATATATGTCGATTCAAAATCGCAATTGGAGCATTTTAAACATGTTTTATTGTTATTGATCTTATCGACTTGAAATAAAGCTTAATTATTTGATTTAATCTTTATTTGGAATAACTTAAAATCGTTCAGTTCTTGTCATAACCGAGGGCCAGGATGGGGATCCTTCATTTCTTTATCACTGAATATTTGCTATTTTTAAATTATATTTTTTGCCCTTTGTTATTCATTCTTTATATTTTACACTCCATTATTCTCCTTTCTTTACTTTTTCTAATTCCTCTCTATTCTGTATTTTTTGACACATTATTCTGTAGTATTGACACATTATTCTGTAGTATTGACACATTATTCTCTATTTTATATCCATCCAGATCCTCAAATTTGCAACAGTTTGGGTCCGTTTCGGTATTTGGCTTTACATGTTTTACTTGATGTTTTCTAATTATCATATCTATAAATACACAAACATTCGAAGTTCTCCTTTTCTTGTCCTGAGGACAGTTACACGAACGAGGCAGATTAAGCAGCAACGACAGTCGCTCAAACAAACAAAAATTGGCGTATTTCTTTTTTTTCCACACTGACAACTGGCTTTTACAGTTTTCTTTGACTTTATCCTTACTACAAAACATATTGTTTGTTTAATTTGCTCGAAAATCATTAAAAGTATTGATGAATAACTCATATTTTATAGTTATAGACAATATTATATTGTTTCAAATAAGATATAGGACGATACTTTTTATGCCTCTGCCGTAGTGGAGGGGCATTAAATTTTACCCTTGTCCATCCGTACGTATACGTCTGTACGTACGTCCCAAAGTTGGTTTCCTTTCTTTAACTTTAGTTAAACCAATTGTTATGAAACTTATACACAATGCTTATTACCACAAACCACATATCAAGTTTGAATCTTGGTGGCGTCACTTTAACCGTTCTAGAGTTATGCCCCTTTTACAGATGGAAAATTGCTGAATTTTTCGTTTCCTTTCTCTAACTTTAGTTTGCCTCAACCAAATCTTATGAAACTTATACACAATACTTGTAACAACAAAAGACAGATCAAGTTAGAATTTTTGTGGCGTCACTTTTACCGTTCTAGAGTTATGCCCCTTTACAAATGGAAAAATTGCTTAATTTTTCGTTTCAGTTCCCTAACTTTAGTTTGCCTCAACCAAATGTAATGAAACTTATACACAATGCTTATTACCACAAAATACAGATCAAGTTCGAATTTTGGTGATGTCACTCTAACTGTTCTAGAGTAATGCCCCTTTACAATTGCTGAATTTTTCGTTTCCGTTCTCTAACTTAAGTTAGCCTCAACCAAATGTAATGAAACTTATAAACAATGCTTATTACCACAAAATACAGATCAAGTTTGAATTGTGGTGGTGACACTTTTACTGTTCTGGAGTTATGCCCCTTTACAAAAGGAAAAATTGCTGAATTTTTCTTTTCCGTTCTCTTACTTTAGGTTGCCACAACCAAATGTTATGAAACTTATACACAATACCTATTATATACCACAAAACTCAGATCAAGTACAAATTTGGGTAGCGTCACTTTTACCGTTCTTTAGTTATGTCCCTTTATAACTTTATATCATATGCAAGCGGGGGCATCATCTGTGTCCCATGGACACATTCCCCATTGTAAAGAGATGTCCTTGTTCCTGTTTAAGGAAACTACTTGAAATCCAAGGAATGTGCATGATATTACCACCTTTCCTGGCAGAAAATTAACTCTGCAATCTAATTGGTCATTTCATGGTTGTGATGGCATGCAAACAGGGAACACGTTCATGGACATACAACTGTCAAACTCCCATTTCAACAGGTTTACAGATTACGGTGTTTTTCATAAGGAATGATTTAATGTCAAACAAGGAACTAATTCTTATTCGTATTTAAATCGTCAAATACCGATCAAAGTTGAATGTTAAATATCAAGGAAGCTTTTGTTCTTCCCCTTTCAAACACAACACCAAAAAAACACCAGTTAATTACTCTGGATAGATTTGGCCGTTTCTGTTTTATTGTATAGCTCACTTGAGCCATTTCCATCAATTGATGTCCGTTGTCGTTCACATTTTTTTTTTAAATCTTCTCTTCAAGTACAGGACCAACTAAACTTGGGCAGTGAATGATACGTATAAAATTTGCTTTGTTCTTTTCTGTCAATCAACCATAATGGTCGTAATGGATAAAGAGAGAGAATGAGAATAAAATGTAATCGTTTGATATCTTGAAACTCGTTATATTATAAAGAGAGCAAATCTTATGCTGAAATGCTCCGAATCAGGTCAAGATCTATTATAATAGTTTTTATACGCCCGTTTACGGGACGTATAATGGTATACCGTTGACCGTCTGTCCGTCCGTCCGTCCGTCCGTCCGTCTGTCCGTCCGTTCGTCTGTCCGTCCGTCTGTCCGTCGTCAACATGTCGGACATTAACTCAAAAAAGCTTTAACCAATATGCATGAAACTTTGGTGAATTATTTATATCTATTGACGTGAGCTCCTTTTCGTTTTTTTTTATAAATTTCAGATTTACCGTTTCCGAGTTTTGGGGTTTTATTCATTAAAAAAGGGGTGATTTTCCAGTTTTCCGACAATAACTCAAGAATGCTTTCACCAACTTGCAAGCTATTTTGGTGAATTGTTTATATCTATTGACATGAGCTCCCTTTTGGATTTTTATAAATTTTAGATTTAACGTTTCCGAGTTACAGGGTTTTATTCATAAAAAAGGGGGATTTTCCAGTTTTCGGACAATAACTAAAAATACTTTCAGCAGTTCTCATGAAACTTTGGTGAATTATTTATAGCTATTGATGTAATCTCCCTAATCTTCATAAATTTCAAATATGACATTGAGAAGAAATTGAACTGTATTTGTTTATAGTCTGACAACAGATTTACTAAGTATTGCGCAACAGCACAGTGTATTGCACAACAGCAAGAAATCTTTAATTGAATATCAATTCAATTCATAACCAATTTCAAGTTCTTTGACTACATTTATTCAGAAACCTATAATATGTCAAATATTTAATTAAAATCCAAATTCAGACCTGTATCAAGCTTGAATATTGTGTCCATTTTTGCCCCAACTGTTCAGGGTTGGACCTCTGCGGGCGTATCCAGCTGCGCTCATCTAAGCAGTTTATTACTGTCGTTTTCCACCAAAACTATCAGACGACTTTGTCCCTAAATGACATTGTTTTTTGGGTAATTATCTCGAAAACTATAACAGAGAGGCAATAAAAGTAAACAACATTATTATCTGCTATATAGGATTTACAATTAACGCTTTGTAATAGTTAAACAGAAACTGTAGATAGCAAAAAATCTCAGTGCAATTTCAACAATCTTTGTGCTGGACGATTTTTCTTCTTCTTTTAATATTATGCTAAGTAATAAAAAGTAAATTATATATCAGTTCAGTGTCCGCTTAGAGGAGGGTAATATTATTTTTTGGGGGGGTTTAGGGCTCGGAACATTTTGAAACTATTCTGCTTTTTTCATGATTTTTCTTAAATCAATAATGTGAGATCGTACTGAAGCCGGTACGGTTGCCTATAATTGCTCACATCCACTTAATTTGAACTTTGGTGGATAGTTGTCTCATTGGCAATCATACCTCATCTCCTTATTTTTATGCAATAATAATCTAGTGGTCTTGATTTCATTCGAATAATGCACTTTATACTGTAAATTTGAAAATAAATACTCTTCATTGGAATAACTTTTTATCGATAAAGGAGGGTCTGGAGGTGGTTTACAGAATAGATACTAATGGGCAAAAAGGGCAGAATAAAGGGCAGATAAAATAAAGAATAGAGAAAATGGGCTAAAAAATAAAGTATACAGAAATAGAGATCCCCATACACACCCTCATAGTGCTGAACTACATAGGGAGGTCTGGATGGGGTTTTAAGGAATAGAGGAGAACGTACGTACGGGACCGAATATATATATATAAAGAATACAGAAAACAAAGCGGGCCAACGAATTAACGAATTAAAAAATAGAGTGAGACATGATAACGGGTTGCTTAAATATAAGGAATAGGATACACGATCATACACAGGCACTTGTCTCTGAAAAAAATTACCCATAACGTTATATACTTTAATATATACTAGTAACACTACAGTGTTATATCAGATCATATTAAGTTATGTAAGATTTTTTTCAGAGACAAGTGCATGTGAATGGATAATATAATTAATCAGAGACACATATACATATATGTCTCTGAATTAATGGATAAAAACTAAAGAATAGAGAAAAATGTCCTAAAATATTAATGAATATACAGGTATTTAAAACCCCCCTTTTTCCTCCATCATGGCTAAATGGTATCATATAACTCAAGGTGTGTAACTGTATTGCTTGGTTATTAATTAGATTGTCTTATCTTATTTAATTTTGGCCTCCTCGGTTTTATAGACCTCACGAAAATTAATGCTTCGGTAACTTTAAAGAAACTACATCTGCACTTTAACCCGGAAGAAGGCCAATGAATTGAAATCGAGGTTCCAACTAAAATGGCGGCACTGGTGTAAAGCTTTCAAACGACATGTTAAATTTTGATAGGTTTTGTGTTTTGTAGGCTGCATTCATAAATAAAATGGCAGAAGAGACAGTATCCTTAAATGGAGAAGAAGATGAGCTAAGCCAATTAAAGATATGCGTGTTATGTGCAACAGATCTGAAGGACAAGTCTCCCAAACTCCTGCCGTGTTTACATTCTTTGTGCGAAAACTGTCTAAATAGTTTATTCCAGTTACAAGTGCAGCAACAAACTGAAGGTTCTAGCACAACAAATAACAATGAAAAAAGTGGTAAGATACCAAATAAGGCTCATTTTTTTCTTTTTGATAATCGACCAATCAAATTATTCGAATTTGGCTGAACTTGCCTGACAATTGACGCGTTTTAAACCGTCAGTTGAGGGGTCATATTCTAAGATTTGAAAATCATAGTTTGCTATCGTCTTCCTCAAATGCAGAAACCCTCAACATAAGTTTACCATGTTTACCACCCAACCCAGAACCTACCATAACAATATCCTAGTGAGAACCCTGGAGCAGTGACTACTGTAGTTAATTGTTATTGAAATCTGGTTTTCTAGACCCTGCATTAAATGGAATAACATAATCCAGAACACACAGATTTTTACCCTCATATGAGTCGGGTCAATTTTGCAATATTTGCAGTCAATACTTAATTATGATTCGTTTATATAAAAAGATATGTGGTATTAGGGTACCTGTAAAGTGCGAAACGAAACGGACCAAAAAAAAAAGAAACAAAATAGCTCAAAACGAAACGAAATGAAATGAAATAATAATTTTTTTTTTACAATTTCAACTTAAATGTCCCAGCTCAATGTCTTTATATGTACCAATATACAGTCAGGGGACTTACATGACTTACTTAAATGAGTGATTTTCTAAATCACTGATTCAAGTAACATTATGTCCATAAAGGTTGGAAGTACAGTCAGAGATATAACTCTATAGGGTTACATTGTATTACAGAAAATAACTTGCGTGTGTTATTACAGATACTTTCATGAGTTGTCTACTCTTTATTCCTTAAATTTTCTAAATCTGCAATAACATATGTTTGTTATTTGTAAAATAAATCAAAAATATTTTGATTTATAATGGGCTCTAGGGAACTCTTGAGACTTTGCGGCAGAAACTAAATGCATAGCCTTGATTATTAATTTTTTAATTAAATTAATACATTTTTGATTAACCATGGTAAATCAATGAGACGAGGCTTTTAAGGGATAAACTTAGCTGTAATAACATAGCTTAGTTATTAAAGGAATGTAACTTATTATATAAGACACTTGGGAATTACTGGGAAGCTTGTGCAGAACCTCATTACATGCTCTGGTCATTATTTCTTACAATAAATTAAAATACATTGTAATTAAGCATGATGTATGTCTGAGAAAATGCTTTGGAGTGATATAGAGAAGCTGTGATAACACCCTTTAGTTATTACAGGCATATTTTTTCTGTAAAAATATATAGGTGTACTATGCAAAATTGGCAAACTATGAAATGTTATATCTTTCTATAGTTAAGTATACATAAAGACAATAGTAATATCAATAGAACTTGTATGCATTTTAACTAAACTAGTGATGTATATTGTCCCTTTGAAACATGTAACATACATATATATATGTTATCACAGTTCTTTGATTTTTTAGTCCACAATAACAAATGTATGTTATTTTTATACGTCCGTTTACGGGACGTATTATGGTATACCTCTGTCCGTCCGTCTGTCCGTCGTCAACATGTCGGACATTAACTCAAAAACTCTTTAACCAATTTGTATAAAACTTTGGTGAATTGTTTATATCTATTGACGTGAGCTCCCTTTCGTTTCTTATAAATTTTAGATTTTACCTTTCCGAGTTATGGGGTTTATTCATTAAAAAAAGGGGGATTTTCCAGTTTTCGGACAATAACTCAAGAATGCTTTCACCAACTTGCAAGAAATTGTGGTGAATTGTTTATATCTATTGACATGAGCTCCCTTTCGATTTTTATAAATTTTAGATTTTAAGTTTCCTAGTTACAGGGTTTTATTAAAAAAAAAGGGGGATTTTCCAGTTTTCAGACAAAAACTCAAAAATGCTTTCAGCAGTTCTTATGAAACTTTGATGAATTGTTTATATCTATTGATGTAAGCTCCATTTAGAATTTTATAAATTTTACATTTTACATTTCTGAGTTATGGGGTTTTATTCATTAAAAAGGGGGGATTTTCCAGTTTTCGGACAATAACTCAAAAATGCTGTCAGCAATTCTCATGAAACTTTGGTGAATTGTTTATATCTATTGATGTAAGCTCCCTTTTGATTTTCATAAATTTCTAATATGACATTGAGAATTAATTGAACTTTATTTGTTTATAGTCTGACAACAGATTTACTAAGTATTACACAACAGTACAGTGTATTGCACAACAGCACAGTGTATTGCACAACAGCAAGAATTTTTTAATTGAATATAAATTCAATTCATATAACCAATTTCAAGTTCTTTGACTACATTTATTCAGAAACCTGTAATACATGTATGTCAAATATTTAATTACAATCCAAATTCAGACCTGTATCAAGCTTGAATATTGTGTCCATTTTTGCCCCAACTGTTCAGGGTTGGACCTCTGCGGGCGTATCCAGCTGCGCTCAGCGAAGCAGTTTATTCTGTAATAACCCTATAGAGTTATATCCCTGACTGAAGTAAGAGTTGTCTTTCTTTAATTATCACCTATTTAAGTAGTACAAAGTCATCACTAGACTAAGTGATTTAATTTTATTGTAGCTTTTAATATAGAATACTAATGATCCAGGGACTAATTATGTTGCTAAAATGATCAGAACCAACATTTGTGTTGATAGGATGACCGGGTCATGTCAGGTGATGACCTTGTACTAAATCTAGGATAATGACATAAAAATCACTTGTTTAAGTATCATACCTCAATTTCCTTCCAAAAAATAACTTCTTTAAGTATCATTATTTTAATAACCCCCACTAATTTCAACACCCCCGAACAGAGAAATTTTGATCGCGAACAGTAGAATTTTATTACATAATCTATAAGATGAAACCTTGAATTTTACAGGAAAAATACTCCCACTGCTGGGAAAAATCTGTTAAGAAAGCATAAGTTCATTATGTAAAGCCATTTTTAGCATTTTTTCAACTAAAATAGAATTTGCAGCTAAATGATTGCATCAAAGGCATTAACCGTGCTGCTTAAAAGAAGCAAAAAGTTCATTTTTTTCAATTTTACTAATAAAAAGACATCTAAACCTATGTGTTTAAAATTTTGGTAAAACTACAAAATCACAAAGTGACAAAACTTTGAATTTGCTACTTAAATAAGTGATTTAAAAATCACTTATTTCAATAAGTCCCCTGACTGATATAGGGAAAGTCAGTGTGAACTGATATGTATGGGTCCGAAAAGTGGGATTATCGGGATATGATTGAGTGGTTAGAATGTTTTTCTGTGGACTGTTTTTGTGTAAGCAGGTTTACATTCGGCTTATATTTACATGTAACATCAGGGCTCACGCTACCATGCGACTGGGGCAACAAAGTCACTTTCCCGGTCGTCACTTTGCTTTGCCCGACTATCAAAAGCGAAATCTAGTCGCCCTGTTGTTTACGATACTCGCTTTCAGTGGCTTTCGTCATCAGCAATATTCAATTTTTACCAAGTCGATGAAACAGCAATTTTTCAGTAAAAAAGTAAAGAAATTTAAAGACATAAACGATTTATTTTCTTCAGAAAAGAGGTTAAAGCATTGATTTTAAAGTTGGTTGCATGTTATTTCATAAAAACAATTTTTTATCACTTCCAGTACTTGTTAGAGAGCGTACATCAAATCATTCTAATTTTCGCCAAAATAAGTTTGTTACTTCATTAGAACGTGATGAAATTTGCCTGAAGTAAATTTGTTATCCATGTATTGCATTAAAAACGTCAGATTCCTTTCCAAGTAGCGTGTCAAACATCGTTTATTTTTGTAAATTTTTCTTCGTCCGCCATTGAAATATTTGTACTAAACTACTGATCAGACCGAACCACCTATGACCAAAATCCGGATTCTTACGATAATGACTCCTGAAGAATGAATGGCACAGCTGACAGAGGAATATTGATTACGCATTCCACGCTTATTAACATACTTTTGGTTAGATTTACTTGATTAATGTATATATTTCCATGTATATGAATTGTTTCAATTTATTAATTAAAATTGCTCAACTCTGGGACTACTATACTACATGTACATTGTATGTCCAAGCTTAACTGTGTTAAATTTATATATCTTTTAAATGAGAATTTTAACCACTGAATTTCACAAACATACCAGAGTACTAGTACATTTTTAAATTGAAATTACAACTTTCTTTTCCTTTTTGAAAAAAAAAAATCTTTTTTATTATTGCTAGATATTAAACTGTTTTTTTTCTGACAATAGGACTAATATGATTGTGCAACTAGATATGATAAAGTTAAACAACTTTGAATTTGAACTGTTACTTTTATTGTACTCCCAGGTACAAATTGAACAATATAAAAAAATAAGATACATATGGCCCTTTGTATTATAGTAAAACCAAACATTGTAGCGCCGCAAGCGAACGAGCACTTCTCTGTCAAATCTCACCACTTCTCCCTCTCAGTTTCAAAAAGAGAAGTCACTTCTCCCTATGATTCTGAAGTAGTGTGAGCCCTGTAACATGTGTAAAGAACATTACACATCGTAATGTTGGTTTATTTGTTGTCATGACCATGAAATATTTGCTCCCAGGCTGACGTTAAGCCGCGAGTCACCCATATCGAACGAAAGCATTAATAATACATTGTGCAGATCATTGTTTACGCTTATTTTGCTGTCAGGTCTAGGTATGTATGTGTATACCTAAGTTAGTTACGAGTGGTGGCTGTCTCCTCGGGTGAACTGGGAGGGTTGGGGGATAACTTCAGTTTGTTTATGTGAGGAAAATTCTGGGCATTTTTGTGAGTTTGAAGAAATTTCGGGTTGGCATTTGTCTTTTGGGTCTGCAATGGTCTTGAAAGCAGATTTCGGGTAACCTTTTTGTCAGAATGTCAGATTTCGGGTACATGTTTTGCAATTCTATGCAAATCCCTTTTGTCACATGTTTGTCTAAGTAAAATTTTATTGGATTTTTGACAAGTTAAATTTGGATAATTTAGGGTACACAGTGTATGATCTGTTTATTTTCTTGATACTTAATTAAGGGTCTCTTAAATAAAAAAATGCAAATGC